TGTGGATCTTTTCCAACCTTAATGGTTCTATGATTCTGTGATTCTATGAACGTGGAGAAGGGGTTTGGGGACAAGTTACTTCCTCTTTGGCTTCATTCCTGTCCCTTGGGAGATTTGCTCCCCATATTGGCAGAGGGCAGTTGTCTGCTCCTCTTCTCCAACCCAGTTGGTCTCCCATGACCACACCGTGCTCCATACCGGCTCTTGATGGCATTCCAGTCAGAAATCAGCTTCTGGAGGGTCTTCTTGCGCTTCAGGATGATGGGAAGCTCCTCCTGGAAGAGAGGGACCAGGCTGAATGGCAAAGGTTTGGGGATGGAACACTGGAGCTGGGGGTTGGCCATGACTACCTCGCTGAGCTTGTTGAGTGGCTGCAGGATGTCACGCTCTACAGCAATCTCAAACTCGGCCAAGATCTTGGCCAGCAAACTCTGGATGCAGCAGCCCATCTCCAAGGCTCTCCTGAAAGGGAGAGGGGTGAAACAAGCACTGGCTGGAGCCATGCCAGCCTCCAATCCAACATCCCTTACCATACGTATACCCATGTGGGGACCCAGAGCCAGGCCCTGTCCCCATTCTGTGCTTGGAGGCTGTCCCCTCATCCCCCTTGATGCTGGTGTTTTCCATTTTCTCAGGATGGTTTGATAGCCTGGCTTGGAAGTGGAAGCCCCTGAACCCAGGTAGCAGCTCAGCTACATTTTGGCCATCTTTTCCCACTGGCACTTACCCAAGGCTGGACTCTGTGTCCAGTTCCTTGAAGCTCTCAGCCATCGTTGCAGACAGAGCCATCAAGGGTAGCTTCTTCTGCACAGAGCCATAGGTTTGGGAAAAGAGATGATGAGCTGATGTGTGGCAGCTCACTCGCCCTGATGCATACCACTGTGGGCAAGGGACAGACAGCCTCCTAAACCCACACTGGTTCCCCACATCTCCCTCTGGTCCAGCTTCCTCTTGTCCTTGGGGCCAGAGTAAGAGCCCTTTGGATGTCTCTTTGGCCAAAGCCAGGACACAGTTGGCTAAACAGCTGGTTAGAAATTCACTAGACTTCTCCAAAACAGTGGAGAACTGTGGGACTCATGGAGGACACTATTAGGCTCAGCCCTGCCATGGCTTCAAGTGTATGGCGGAATTTAATGTCGAGAATAATTTAGCCAAGCTAGGAGAAGAAAGGGCCTGCAGTATCATGGGGAGGGTTTGCTTTCCAGGCAGGAACTGGTGAGCACCAGCTGGGAAGGAGGTGGCAGGTTCAAACCAAGGAAGAGGAAGCAGTGGTGTACCCATGCCCAGCTACACCATGCTGCTCCTCGCCACAGGAGTTCAGGAAAGGGCATGGGCTTAGGGCTTTGCGAAGATGCTATCTAGGCCTCAGGGTTTGTGGTGGCTGAGGAGGTGTCCAGGGAACACTCACCACTCTCTTGTCCATTTCGGCGCCGCAGTGCCCCTGCAGACAAGCCTGGAGCCGCTTGGACACGCTGTGAGCTGCTCGCTTGGCTGGCTCGATCCTCTGCTCGATCTGGGGGTGGAAAGGTGGCACCGATGAGCCCTTCTTTGTGTCATGGGGGGCATGTCAGAGCAGTGCTTGCTGACACAGCCGTGCTGGATCTGCCAGTGCTGTGCTGAAGCCGCTGTGTTGGCCCTGGAGCCGCCCTCCAGCAGGCAGGAGTGTTTCAGCCCCATAACAAGGAGGTGCCAGTGGGGAGGATCGCAGGTAGGGATGGGGCATGTCCCCACGTGCAGGTGCAAGCTGGCACTCGCCTCACCTGCAGCAAATCTTCTGTCAGGAACTCAGTTGCTTCTTGGGCTCTGTGGAGGGAGAAGAACAAGTCAAGAGAAGAAATAGGGGGACTTCCTCCCACATCTCACCCTCCTCTCCTTGAGGTCCTGATAGGAGGGGCTGGCTATGGCTCAGACCATCCTACCCAAGGCTACAAGTAGAGCGAGCCCAGGAGGAGAGCACCAGGATCAAGAGAAGCAGCTCCCCATCAAGCTGGACTTCAGGTGTCTCCCCATCAGGTGTCTCCTCATCAGATTGGGCTTCCAGCTCAGAGCACCTAGCTTGAAATACCCCAGTGGGACAGGGCCACTGTTCTGTTGATAAGTTTGGGGGTAAAACTTTCTCCCAACTGCCTCTTCTCTGAAAGCAAATCCAAGGCAGCTCCTGCTGGAGCCCTGTGGGCGTCTGCCTTTGCTGGGAAGATTGCTGGAAGTTGAGGTGCCACCGGGGCTGGAGCAATAGTGACACTGTAGTAAGGCTGGAGATGTAGACCAACTCCAGCCCCCTGCAGGGCATAAAATGAAGGCAGCTTTCTGGTTGCTTTTGCAAGCATGTATGCAGAGTGAATCTTGCAAAGGAAGCTTCTGGTTTACAGTAAATTCTGATCAAAACCCAATTCAAAACCCAACACCCAAGGCGGCCAAACCTCCATGACTCCTCCCATAGGGGAAACTTTGCTTAGTGGACCCATGTCCTTGCAGCTCTCTGGGAACCTCCTCTGCTGCTGCTTTATCCCCCTGCCTGGCCACTTCACGTTTCTGTTTTCAGCTCCTGCAAGAACTGACATGGGACGAGCTGCAGGAAACGGGGGTGGTTGGCTTGAAGGCAGCCAAAGTCACGTGAGATCGCAGCCCCGTGGAGGAGAGGCTCTGCGGTGGGTGAATTGCTCTCTTTGGGGCTGCATGAGCTGCATAGGGCCTTCTGCACACCCAGCCTCAAGCAAAATGGAGGCATGTGGAGATGGAAAAGCTCTCTTCTGGGGTAGAGAGGTGGGAGAAAACAGTTGGTTCCCCTTGGGAAATGCAGGAAGGGCAACAGGCGACTGGGTTGCAGCTCTGCAGTGGTGGCTGAAGGCCCCTGGTAGATCTGGGGCTGGTCCCCATCAGCCTCCTAGGGCTCAGGAGTATGTGTTCCTCTGTGCAGAGGTGGCTGCAGGAAACAGGGAGTGAGGGGGCTGGGGAGGGAAGGCCCAGCCCTGGGTTTTGCAAGGGGAGAGCTCTGGAAAGCCGAAAAGAAAAATAAGGAAGTGGTGGAAGTGAGACTGAGCTGTGGGAATACGTTTGAAGCTGGAAGTCCTCCACAGGTTCTACTACAGGGTGTCCACACTGCTGGCCAGATGCGGGGCACCAGGCACCCATCTGAATGGAGGGAGCAAGTCCCAGATCCTCTTGGACACCGCACAGCCTAGGGCATGTGGCTGGTGTGACCCTGCCCATTGCCCTCGTGTCTGGGGGAGGCCAACCTCTGTGGGCAGCCAGGTTGTGCAGCCCATCGCTGGTGAGTAGCATCAAGCCTCCATCCCACTGCCTGCAGCACCAGGGAGCTGGTACCCACAGCCCCTCAGCTTATGCTGAAGATGCTTTAAGCCCATCTCCCACATTTTCCCTCTTCCCTGACCGCCCGGGTGCCCAATCCAGCCTGGTGCCCACTCCCAGACCCTATATCCTGCTCCCTCCCAGCTCAATGACCCTGGAAGTAGAGAAGTCCTTACCGGCTGGTGGCATTGGGATGGGACAGCTGCTGCCGCATCCGATTGAACTGCCTCTTCATCATCTTGGGAGATGAAGCTCAGCACCCCTTGGTGACACTTGGCATGGGACGCCCACAGCCCTTCTGCTGTGCAGAGCTGCCGCTCCCCAAGCACCTCTCCCTCCTTGCTCCTTCCTTCTTCCCTGGTTCCCTCTTTTTCTTTTTGCCGGTTTGTCCCCTCCCCAGCCCCTCCCCGGGGACTGCCTGCTTTTTCTTCCCCTCCCTTGGGCTCTCTCTCACAGTCCCTCTCTTTTTCTGAGCTTCCTTCCTGGCTGCGGATCAGGTAAGAGCGGTTCAGAGCTCTGCTCTGCTCTGTGTTCCTGTCACCACCCTACAAAGTATAAATAACTTAAGCCTAGCCTTAAAGGGGAAATATTATTGCAGCAAACACATAACAAGGCAGGACAGGCACACTCAGCTGCTGAGCTCGAGTAGGAGGCCCACGCTCTGTTTTTCACCCGCCTTACCGTGTTTACCACCAGCTGTGGTGTGGGAGGGCACTTGGGGAGGGTAACGCACACCCCACACTACCTGGTCATCTCAGCACCCCTCTGCAGATGGCAAAGCCATTTCTTCCCCCTTCCCCTGCTGCCGTTGTAAGGTTGCATGGTGACCACAAGCTTCATGTTTCCATCCTTAGCGTCCCTCACTCTGCAGAGCTGCACTCAGCTCAAGCCACATAGTGCAACTTTTTTTTTTTTTTGCTAAAAGTATTCCCCCGCAGATTTTGCTCCCATTCTGCACGATGCAAAGCTTGCTTTATCTCCGGCTGGGACTTTCCTCCTCCTGCACTAAGAGCAGAGGCTAAGCTATGTGGAACCAGCATCTGAGCAGGGTTGGGAAGTGGTCACTCCAGTTGTGCCCCAAAGTCTGGGGCTGCTGGACTCTGCTCTTCCTTACCGGAGGGTGCAGCAGAAGCGATCCTCTGTTTCCAAGGGACATAGCTTAGCAGGCAGTATCAGCAGGTGGGTGGTTGGACTAGATGGTCCAAAAGGTCTTTTCCTACTTTAATGATTCTAAGGGGAGGACCAAGCAAGGGAATGCTGCCTGAGCATCATTTTGCTCTAAAACCTTTAACCAAGTGGCCACCCACGCCTAACTCTCAGCAACCAACCTCCAGCTCTGCACCAAAACCGCCCTAATAGAGCTGCTTCCGATCAGCTACCTCGGGGAGGAGGAAGTTTTGCTGCAAAGCCACCAGCCCGCAAACAGCCCTGCAGCCTGGGAGCAGCTCCCCATGAGCTGGGGGGCTCCTGCCCACTGCTTGCCCCAGAGAAAAGGAAGCAGAGCACAGCTCGTAACGTTGACGGGGCCTGCCCTCAAACAGGAATTGAGAGCAGTAGGGGACTTCCACCATTCACTCTCCCTGCTCACAAGCCAGTGAGATTGAAGCAGTGAGGCCCAAAAGGAGCTGGCAGCTGCAAGGCCAACAGCTCCTCCGTGCAGTCAGGGGAAAATGCAGTCAGAAGGCACAGCATGAGGAAAGAATTCTTTATTTCCCATAAATACAGCAGATTTGTCGCGCCGGGCGTTTTTTATTTTTGTTTTCTTCCATTTACAGAATTTGCACTGAAAATATATACAAGTCTGTTCAAGAACCAAACAAGATCTGCAAAGAAAAAAGAAAACCCATACAAAACCCTGAAAAGAGACCAGAAAGGGAAGTAAGACACAGCAGAACCTCAGCATAAAGACCTTGCTTCCCCCTCTTCTCCAGCACATGCTGCACCCAGTTTCCACCTTCACTGTTCCAAGCAGAGAATACAAAGCACCTCGCTCATCTCCATCACGTGCAGACTGCCTTCTACCTCTGGCCAGCTAATGCAGAGTTCAATTTGCCCCTAAGAGCCAGCTCAAACTGCTTAGAGGTGGGAAGCAGCTCCTATGGCCACAAGCCCTATCAGGACACGGATTGCTTAAGACATTCCACCCCCTGGTCTCCTCCATGCCTGCAGATCCTCACTCTAGTGTCACAGTGATCAGGGGGCTGGAGCGAGTCCCCCTCTGGGCAAAGGGGCACAAGGCACAGCTGTACCCCAGTCCCCGCAGTGCAGAGCTTGATGGTGCCCCCTGGCGATGCTCAGAGCCCAACTCCCATCCTCTCCCCTCCCCAGCCTCAAGGAGAAAGGATTCAGCCCACCGAAGGCCCCTTTTGAATTGTGTCAGCCCTGCGAGGGGCAAGGACAAACAGGCGATGTTCCAGCCGCAGTCCCAAATGCTCGCTGCAGTGAAGCGTAGTGGGAAGATGTGTGCTTCCGCCCGGCAGTTCAGTGCCCAGGAGCCAGAGCTGAAGCAGCTGGGGAGGCACAGAATGAGCCCTTTCCAGGGCCCACCTCCCACCAACAGCTCTGCCTGCTATTGGAAAGAGGGGGCTGCGGGAAGATTTCTCCCTGGCCCCCAAAAGCAAGGATCACTGCCTGCTCTCTGGAGCTGGGAAGACACCTAAGTCCTTGTTCAGTTCTAAGGTCATCCCATCAGACAGGAAACCACTAGGGCCCAGCTGCAAGGCTAGGGCAAGGGAAGATACCCCACAGCTCAGCATTTGCTAACATGAGAGAACAATGCAGAGCATAAAGCAGCTGAAGGGTTGGGGGAGATGGAGAAGGGAAAGGATCTTCCTTTGCTAGGCCCTGCCTCAGGCTGAGGCTGTTAAAAGCTTCCCATCCTTGCTTCCCACTGCACCAAGAGGGGGAATGCAGGGTTAGAAGAGATGCTGAACAAACTAGAGAGGGAGGGGTGCCTTTGGAAGAGCAGGGAAGGCAACTGTTCAGCCACAAGCAGCTTGACTGCACTCCTGCTCTTGTGGGATGAACATCTCCTGGTGTCTGCTCTCATCCTGGAGGCACACTCCCTCTGGCACTCACCCGGCTGATTGGAGAATTGAGCATGAGCAGCAGCCCCCCACCCGCCCTCCCCATGTCCTCAGGCTGCTTCAGCCCCACAGGGCTGGCTTCCAAGTGTAGTGCCTACTACATGCAGCCCTAGAGGTTGCCCCAGGACTCTGGTGGGGGGAACTGGTCCACATCCCCCATTTCATTGTAAGTTTGCTCTCCCATGGTGAAGGTTAGCTTGTATCGTAGCCTCACTTTCTCCTGGAGGTAGGGGAGAAAAGATAAGCAGTCAGAAAGGAAGGAAAACATTAAGAACAAGTCATAAATACTTTAAGAATACCCCGCACAGAGCACAGGGAATATGGATAGTTCATTCTGTTTCAGGCAGAGGGGAGCAGGGCTTTGCCTAGGCACCAGGGGATGGTGCTGTTACCTTCTGTGGGTTAGCAAGCAGCAGGACTTGAGTGATGGCACTGGGATGGACAATGGGGTTGAACGCTGGCAGCTCTGTGCCTGAGGGTGGCTGTAGTTTCACCTTCATCACCTAGGGAAAAAGAAAGGCATCCCACAGTGCTGAGGGACATTACAGCTAGAGGCCCTGGTCAGATATATAAGAAGCTTTCACTTTCTAAGAAAAAAGAAATATAGTTTCGGGTCTTGCTCCACAGAGCTTTCCACCCACCCTACCTCTCCTGCAAAGGGAGAATCTCATGGGAACTGTCTGTGGACCCAGTCCCCAGCAGTAGCCTTACCTTGGGGACAGCAGACTGAAAAACAATGTTACGGATGGGCTGCGGGGCTGTGCTTAGCATAGAAATCACCACCACCAGCACGTCGGGCCTCTCGGGAAGGGCATCCTTGGCAAAGTGGAAGAGGATGCGAAAGCCATGCTGATCATACACTGTCACAGGAAGGATGCTGCCTGTGGGAAAGGCAGCAGGTCAGGGACAGGTGGTAGTCAGCCAAGAAGGGACTGGCAATCCTTCCCATCAGCCATGTTCCACACAAGCAACAGAGATACAACCTCCCTGAGATCTGACAGGCAAGCTTTCTCACATTCTTCAGTTTATGCACTCTCCTCATACCTTGTCCATTCTCCCCCCCTTACCCCCCTCAGTTTGTGTGGTGAGCTTCCAAACAGTTCATTTCCCCCCTTCCCAAGCTTTCATCCCAGCTCACTGGGTTTGATTGACTCCAGAGGCACAGTGATGTTGGCTAGCGAGATCTCTGGGGGCAGCGTGGAGGCAGGAGGCTGTGGTGGGACTGAAGTGCTTCCTGGTGGTGTGGTGGCAACTTTTGGAAGCGTAGCAGGCAGCTCTGAGTTCAGGGGCAGTGAGGGGTTAGGAGGAACACCCTGGAGCACAGGCAGAACATTGGAGTTTTGGGCTGTGGCGCCGGAGTTGCTCCGGTTCTGAAGATCCCTCAGAGTGAGCCGGGGAGGTGGCTGCTGCTTCTCCCTGTAGATTTAGAGAGAGAAAGCGAGGAGTGAAGCAGGGCACTGAAATGCCTATATCCATGAAAAAGGTGGGAAGAGATGCAAGATTGCCCTGTTCCTACTTACCATCGCACTTGTTGGGACTCTGGAGGCAGAGACTGTTGCAGCAATGTCTTGCCCAGGAGGTCCAAGTCATCCAGGCCACTTGTGAACGTAGGTTTGGGGGAGGATGTACCTGCATCTGCTTTGACTGGCGCTGCTATCACAACAGGGGTGATGCTGAGCTCATTGCTATCTGATGACTGCAGAAAGAGTGCACAGAAGCCCCCCCATCAGCAGGGTTCCTTATCAACACCATCAATCACTTCCTTACCTACTCCTTTTGTTCCTTCCACCACCCGCCCCATCAGCTTCTCTGGCTCCCAGCACGTTACCTGGAAGCTGTTCCAGCCACTGCTGTCACCAGCCTGGGCAGGATGTGGTGCTGGATCATTCAGGCCTGCCAGGAATAAAAGCAAAAATGGACCCTATCTGCCATGTGGGTAAGGACACTTAAAGGGGCCTAAATGAGGCATCTGTAACAGATCCCTCTGGTCAGGCAGGACATGGAAGCAGTAGGGCAGAGTCACCAACATGGTCTCCCATCTCAGGCCTCCATCCTTGCATAGGAAGGAGCAGGGAGGGTGGTATTTTCTCTGCCCAAAGATCCCCACTCTAAGTCAAGTTCCCAGTGCAACACATCACACTTTCACATGCATCTGGGGGACCATACTACTACCTCATGCTGTTGTACTTGAAGCACCTATCCTAGGAGAGTATACTTTGTTGGGAAAAATAGAACTCTAGAACTTTCTAGAAGTGGCACCACACAAGACTTGCAACTTGCATTTGAACAGTTCTGGAAGTCCCTATGTGTATACTGTTAATATGTTTGCACTTTGCAGTTGATGTCACACGAAGAGCTGGATGTGATCCACCCGTCATGCCATCTGCTGATGGGCATTGTATCAGTCTTGATTTGCCTGACAGGTCAGTTTATCCAGAGCAAATTAGAAGGTAAATCCCCTGTAGGTTCTCTGGGTGTCAGAAAAAACACTACGAGATTGAAGTTCAGAATCAAGCCAGAGTCTTTCCTGCCTTTTCCCTTGCTCTAAATGCGGGTGACATCTTGGTTTTTCATGAGTCACCTCTCCCAGAGCTCTCCTGCCACAAGAACCACCATCCACTCAGACTCTTGATGGTGAAGGACGTAATGGGAAGCTTTTGCTCTGGTCTTCTCACCTAAAGACATAAGTTCATCATCCAGCAAGGAAACAGAGCCAGCTTGGTCAGGCACAGGGACTGCTGAACCACCTGAAAGGGTGGGCAAGGCTGGGTAGGAAGGCCCTGTTGCTGGGAGCTCCAGTCCTGACAGATCCAGAAGCGCAGAGGTGCTGCCTGTAAAGGAAACACAAGGTGAGAAGGGTTGGGATAAGGTTTCTGTCTCAGAGTGCTGAGATGCAGTTCCCATCCTCACAACTGGGAGAGGGAAATCCTCATCTGTTCTCTCTCACAGTTCTCTCCTTTCATGCAACAGTCATCTCCACAAGCCATTCCCTCATCTCTTTAAGCCTATCTCTGACATCCTGCAGGTATCCCCCTTCCACTTCTCTCAATCTTCTTATACACCAGAGGAAATCAGCAGTAGGATCTCCGTGCTTCATCTCCCTATTCCCCAGGTCTCCTCACCTCGAAGGGGACCAGCCACCATCTCCCCATTGACCTCTTCTCCCCATACGAGCTGCTTGTAGAGATTGATCACCTGTGTCAGGTTGTCATTGGCTTGCAGGATCTCCGCTGAAATGGAAGAGGTAGAAGATTTTAAAAAGTAGAGAAACAAGACAGTGACTTTTATACCCATCTCAGCCTATTTCTTCAAAGTAAGGCCCAGGGAGCTGATGGTATCCCACCACAGGCAGCACTTCTGCCTCTGCTGTTGCAAACTGCATCAAAATACATTGGCAACTCCAGCTTCAGCAGCATAAGCACAAAATTTTCTTTCTACAACAAAGGGAATGAACACTGCTGATTGGGATCATCTGCCCCCACCTAGCACCAAGCCATAGAATAGCCAGCCTACAGCAAGCAGCCACAACAAAAAGTGGCAGGCTTCTAAAAAAAATGCTATACCAGAGACAGCCCAAGCATTGATTCCCTAATAGAAGATAGAGTGAGAAGCAGACAGAACAAGAAAGGTCAGGGTCAGGTCTGCTTACCCAAAGCTTCATCGTTGTCTTCGGTGTCGCTGGCAAGCCGGAAAAGCATGGGTCTCATGCGCTCACAGCGCTGATACAGCTCCTGGGGGAAAGAAGGGGCACTGAGATGAGCAGCAGGATGCTGATAGGGTACAAACTAAGCAGGAGGAACACAGGAGAAACAACTGTCTCTGCTAAACCCAGGGAGGACACTGGGATTGCCTTTCCTCACCTTCATCAGGTCCTCATTGCTCTCTGTTGTCTCCCCCTTGCTGTAGTTTGTCACCATCTCTGTCAGCAGCTTCACATTGTTGTTCACCTCCTCAATGGCATTCACTCTCTTGGAGATCTTTTCCATGCGCTTCTGGTCCTGGAGGGGAAACGCATGGGGAAGGATGTCCCTGCCTGCCAGCAGTGTGAGGAGGAAGAAAGGTTGGGCCAGCCAACACATCAGCTCCCTGTACTGCCCCCCAGAATAGACTCCACTTCAGTGGGAAAACCCCAGGTTATTTCTGCACCAGCACTTGCCAGACAGGGCTGGAACCACCACAGACCTTGTGCTGCAGTAGCTCCACCTACAGTCATTTCTCCAAGTAGCCAAAGGATGGCACAAGTCATACAAGGACTCTTTGGCGCTGCTGCTGAACAACTGATCCATTGCCCTTTGGTACCAAGCAGTGCCATCCAGGCCGTGGCTCCCTGCCCCCTTTTTCCTCAGCCATACCTCCTGAACCATCTCCTTGATGAGCTTGTTGGCAGCCCGAAGGTCCTCAGGATGGGAACTTTTCAGGAGACGTGCCAGTATCTGCAAGAGAGGAGGAATCTCTGAGCCCAAGCTGAGAGGTGGCAGCTGGCATTGCTCTTACAGCACCAGAGCTTGTGGCGATGCCCTGCCCAAAAGAGACCAAGTACAACTTGTCTTCCTTTCCCCATTGTGGTTCTGGTTGTGTAAGAAAGGTCTTTCTGTGAAAGTCTCCTGCATTCAAAGCCTGCCCCTCCCTGCCTGTTACTCACAGTAGAGACCCTGGAGCACAGCAGCACAAATCCTGCAACAGACAAAACTTGTTTTACACAGGGAGATGCCATAGGGTTGCGATGGGCTATTCTCTCTCCACACATGCTCCTTTTGTAGCTGTAATTGGCAAAGAGGGAGACCAACCATTTTCTCTCCTACTTCCTAGTCACTGAAGTCCTTCAAGACATCTACAATTCCCCATTCCCCATTTGTGGAAACAGATTATGTACCCTGCAGGGAATTGACATCACATCTCTACTGATGAAACAGACACAGAAAAGCCTAACACTTAAACATATCAGAGGTTTGTCTGAATGGTGACCTGACTGACAGAAAGGTAATATAGGATGAATCCAGGAAGATACAAGCAGCTGAGCTATAAGCACACTGCAGTGTTTTGAGCGGGGAAAAGTTAACAACATCTGGGGCTGGGATTTATTTAAACCTTATGGCCAGATAACTCTGGAGCCTGGAGAGAGCAAAACAAACCTCTCAGAATCTGCTGGGCTAACGCCAGCATGTCATCCATTGCACCATCCTGCAGTTAAGAGCTCCAAAGGTCAAACAGACCCACATGCTTTACCTAAGGCTGTTTCCTTTGTCATAATTTTGCAGAAGGCCCTCAACATTCCTCTGATGCATGTCCTGAAGCATTCAGAGCAGGAGCCTTGACTCTTACTGGATCTTCTACTCTGGAGTACAGGAGACCTCAGAACAGAGGTGTTGCCCTCTGCTCTTTACCTGCACAGACCTCTTACCTTTGATTTCTCTTCATCATCAAAAATGATGTTTTTGGGCCGAGGAGGAGGTGGTGGAAAAGGAGCATCATCAGGCAGTTTTGGGTCAGATTTCACAATACCTGCAGTAGAGACCAACAGAGATATCAGGAGGCTTCACCCACTGGGAGGAGGCACACTACCACCTAGGTCCATTCTTTCCTAACAGCTCATCAAGCCTAGCTGGAACACAGGGGATTAGGGTCAGCTTCTGCCATTCATAATCTTAAATTGTGTTGTTATGCAAATATTACCCCCCTTCAGCACTGTCCTGTCTTTGAAAAATCCAGCTCTCAGTACTACCAAAGCACTTGTATCCCTTCAGCACCAGTCCATTCCAGTGCGCCACCTCCTGTAGGGAACAAGCAATATTTTCTTCCAACCCATTAAGCACCTCAGACCCCCTGCAACTCTCTCTGCCCATCCAGGAGCTCCAAAGCACCCATTTCTTCAGCAGCCCTTTCTGTGGAGCCTGGCAGACCTATAGATGTGCTGTGTCTGGGCAGAGGGTATGGAGAGCCTGTTTTAGATTCTCCCTGGACAAATAAGGAGAAAAACCTTCCAGACCACTGCCTCTTACCTTGTTTCTTTAGCATTTGGTAGGCCTCCAAGATCTTCACCTCGTGAGGCAGCCCCAGTGTCCAGCTGTACATCAGCTCCAAGATCTTTGACTTCACTTTTTCTGGTGTCCGGCTGCCAAGATACTACAGAAACAGAGAAGAGGTGACTTGAAGCTCATGTGAGCTGTTGCAAGCCCAGCCTGTTTCCCTCCTCTCCTCCCCCAGAAGTGAGACAGTTCCCAACGGCACAAGGAAAAGAGGAAGCAAGCAGGAAAGCTCATGAGGCCCTTGCAACATGTCCTGTGCCACTACAGGAGGTGGGAGAAATGCTGGGCCAGCAGACCCTTGGTAACACCCGTGGATGGGTGGAAATGCTCAGGAGGGTCTTTATCACCTTGTAAAGGAAAGCATGCTGCTGTCAGAAGCTGCTGGGAAAGGCAACCCTTCAGAGAGCAGGACTGGGAGGTGAGGTGAAGGGCTGTAGGTGACAGTCCCTAGGGCAAGGCCAGCACACCCTCAGCTGCACGCTGCATCACAAAGTGCCTGACACTCTTTATAGCAAGCTGGCAAGCCACAAACACCTCACTGCTGGATGCAGCTTTCCCACTATTGTGCAGTCACCCTTCACTCCTATTCCATGGGTCTGCTATGTGCTGGTAGTAAAAACAGCAAATGTGCTGCCAGTGGCTTAAGGCAGATGACATCCTCTAGATCACCCCAGCAAGATGACTGCAGAATGATACTGTTGCAGTCCCTGGATATTCAGATATTCATCCACACAGATCACAAGCTGTGACTGACAGCCTCCAGTTTTCCTTAGTTATATTTAGTCTGTTTTTCCTTAACTCCATCCTTGCTGGCATCATGAGCTGACTGCCCTGGCTGAATGGAACAGCATGCCCAGTATGTGTTGCTGCTGAAACAGCAGCATCAGCAGAGGAGCAGGTAAGGACCTGGTCCTTCAGATGGGCTTGCTAGACCATGCCAACAGGCCTGGGCTTGTCAGTGTCTCAAGCAGACTGGGATACCCTGGAAAGGTAAGAGTCACAGTGTCAAAGCTGAGAGAGGTTCCTGAGCACAAAAAAGGCTTAGAAGAAATGCAGCGAAGGTGACTCCAGGCACGCTGATGGGCTCAGAAGTCTCCCAAGTGCTGGCTGCATCAGGTCTAGCTGGCCCTCAGCTTCCTGTGACAAAACATCAGCCTAGAGCAATGGGTGAAAGCTCAGCTTCCCATTGGAAAACTCAACAGGAACATGGATTAAATCTCTTCTCAATATTGTCCCATTTTCCCCACACTCTAAAAGACCTCTGGCCCCTCTGCTCTACCACTTCTTCCCAAAGCCCTCTTTTCACCATCATCACCTCCAGGAGGATCCCCAGGGACCCACCTTTGGTGACACCACCTTGATGAGCTCATTAAGGAAGCGGAACTTGCCCACCTCATCGTGGAAGCGCTTGCCGCAGCTCTTCATGCAGGACTCCAACACCTGGGAGAGGATGAGCCCATGAGCTAGGTCAACATTCGGCTTCTCGCCAGGCACAGAACCTGAGGCTTTCCTTACAGCATCTCCAGGGATAGGCCATCCATAGCTTCCTTGGACAACCTGTGCTGTTGCCTCACCACCCTCCGAATAAAGATCTTCCACCTCAGATCAACCTAAATATCTCGTTTTTTACTTTAAAGCCATTCATTACTGTTCTATCACTATTAAAATCACGTAAAAAGTCAGTCCCCCTCCTGCTTATGAGCTCCCTTCAAGTACTGGAAGGCCACAGTGAGGCCTCCCTGGAACATTCTCTTCTTCAGGCTGAAGAAACCCAACTCCCTCAGCCTGTCTTCATAGGAGAGGTGCTCCAGCCCTCTGATCACCATGGAAGAGGACACCCTTAGTGCAGCAGAGCCATCCTAAGGCAGAGAGCTCTCAAACCCCACGGTTCACCACGTGATAAGAGGAACAGAAAACTTCCCAATGACTCCCATGCTCCTCCCTAAGGACAAGGTCTCCCCCACCTGTCACCCTCCACTGGGTGCTGCCACTGCCACCTCTCTCCCACCCCACACATCGGAGTTTTCCCAGAGCACCACAAGCTTTTGGTAGGACACCCCCACTGCCCTCCATCACGTCCTGCCTTACCGTGAGGGCTTGAATGGCCTCCCATTCCTGCGGGGACTGGATCTTGTGAGCAAGGAGCCGGGTGGCGAGCGGAGGGCTGGAGGGAGAGGAAAGCTGCATGGTGATTGAGGAAAGGCCCACCTAGCCGTGCTGCTATGAGGCAGGAGAGCATGTCACAAGCTGAAGGCGCTGACAAAGCACCGGACGGCGAGGCCTGAGACCCACTCACCCCTCCAGCTCCTTGTTGAGCTGCTCGCAGAACGCATTGATGCCATCCCAGTCCAGCTCCTTGTTCAGCGGGTTGGTGGCCTTGTCTACGGGCGGCAGAAGGGCAGTGCGAGTGAGGCGGGTCCCCTCAACCCCCGCCCTCCCCCCCATCTGCCCCCGCCAGCACTCACTGATGCGCGCCTCCAACGTCTCGGCCTCCATGGCGGGGCCGCCGCCGCTCCTCAGCGGGGCCGCCACCGGCCCATCGAGAGAGCCCAGAAACCTCTAGAGCGCCGCCGGCTCCACCATAGAGTGCCGGAAGTCGGAAGTGCAGAGCGGCGCTCCGCGCGCCCCCTGCCGTGACACCGCCCGAGTTACCATAGAGTTCATCGCGTGGTGGAGAAAGCGAGACGCGAGAAGAAGGCCTCCAAGAGGAGAGTATAGAGAATGAATAGAGCCGGAAACCAACCGTCGCACGGAGCCCAACCGGAAGAAGCCCTTTCTGTTGTCAAGTGAAGCTACTTCTGGTGGGGCCGCAAACGACTTCCGCCTCGTGAGGGAGCTGCGTGTCCTTTAAAAGGACAAGAGCAGGCCAGCGCCAGCGCATGCGCCTTGAGTGTCCGTCCGCTCTGAGGGGAGCGGAGCTCAGGCTTTTAAAATGGCGGCGGCAAATGGCGGCGCCAGCTCTTGCTATTTTAAAGGCGTTATAATGATATCAAGCCTGCTTCTGCGCTTCTGGAGCAGTTGTTTTTAAATAGTTGTTAATCTTCCGCCTTTTTCCTGCTTGGAAAAAGCTTCCTCCAGGAATAGTAAACAGCTCTCTCCTTTCTCATTGTGGCTCTTAATACAAACGATGGTACTTAATAAGGGCTGTTTTCTATGCCTTCCTGTGGTCTTGGAGGGAGCACCGTGCATTCCCTGTGCGTTGCTTTACATCACTTACAGAACAGATCCCACAAAGCTAAGCCCCAGTGTCACCCTGATGGCTTTTCCGGATGGGCAGCCATTGTTTTCAGGGGAAACTTGGCCATTAAAAACTACCTTCTGGTGCCTGAACACAATTCTTTTTTTAACTCCTACCACCTTGCCTCACAAAGCTTTCTTCAGGGCCTTAGCAAATTGCCACATCCCTTGCTGTGTTCAGGCACGTTTTACGTGAGTTATTTCAGTCCTATGAGTCACTCCTGCCTATTACTGCTTTCCCTTCCATTTTTCTGAGAATCTTGAAGTCATTTGCAGGAGTCCAGGACCTCACTACTGCTACTGTAGGTCACGTGTGATCTGAGCAGAAGGTGCGTGTCTCCACTCCCTGACCCAGAAAGAGACTGCAGCAGTGGTTTTTCAGTCTGCTGTTTCAGTCTTTGGCTCAGGTTTCACTCTTTAAATGTTTATTTTCCTCACTTTGGCATCAAGCAGTTTTAAGCAAGCATAAAGCGAATGGCAGGCTGCGCCTCTTTTCGGCTGGCTGCAAACAATGGCAAATGAACTCATCCGTAACACTGATGTTAGCTGCAGCATTTCAGGCCTTTCTTTTATTGCTTAGAAACTTGGCAGGCTCCTCCCCCTTTGGTTGCATCTGCTTTCTGTGCAACTCAGATGACATGCTGGGGGGAAGTTTTTTACTGAGAGGGCAGTGAGGCAGTGGCACAGGCTGCCCAGAGAGCTGTGGGTGCCCCATCTCTGGAGGTTCAAGGACAGGTTGGATGGGGCTCTGGGCAGCCTAGAGAGCTGGCGGGTGGCAGCCCTGCCCACAGCACGGGGTGGGACTGGATGATCTCTGAGGTCCCCTTCAATCCAAGCCATTCTGTGGTTCCATGAAAAAGATCAAAATTATGCTCCCCATAACCAAGCTTGATGCATCCTGAGAAAAACCTTCCCCAACTCATTTTTACTGACAGCTGGAATCCCAAACAAGATTTAAAGCCTAATGGAGCGAGACGCTCCGTATTGTAATTAACGCTGATCCAGAAGGAAAATACTGGAACTATAATTAGCGTGTAGCCAGTTGCAGAGGAAAGTGATTACGCACAAGCCGGAGGCCCGGGTAGTTTGCGTGCCAGGGAAACAGCAGCTTGGGCTGGGAGCTGTGCTGTCCCACAGAGGGCAGCAGCAGGCAGGAGATTGGCTGGTGCTGCTCAGCCGTGGCTTGAAGCCACATTCGTGGTGAATCATGGCACAAACAACGCCGGGGAGGGCTGCAGGAATGTCTGGGTGTGCTGTGCAAGGGTTTTTCCAGGCAGGTAGGCCTCCCCAAGCTGGCTGGCTGCATCCAGAGCGCTCCGTCACCTTCGCTCCGCTCCTACATTTGTTTGGTTTCTCTCCAGTGTGTCTCTGTGAACCGTGCAATGTTTGCAGATGTGCTTGTGTGCAAGAGATACAGGTATGATGTGCTTCCTGTTGGCTCTGGCCACTGGTGTTCCCTTTCCCCTGCCACATTCCTCTTTCTGTGGCAAAACTTTCTGCCAGAGACCTTTCACTTTCCTGACCATATTGTGGTCTTTTCTTCCCTTTTCTGATTTCCCTACTCCAGCTGATGCAGTGGGCAGTTCCTGTGTTTTTGGCTACTTGCCCTTGAAACAAGGCTCGCAGCTCCTCTGCTAACATCTCCTCAAACCATGAACCTCTTACATGATCCTCTGGATACGTAGCCCTGCTACACCTGACCTTTGCTCATGTGCCTTTTGCAATACTTCCAAACACATTTCCCAGTGGAGTGTTGCAATTATAGAGCCAAGTAAAGGGCTGCATACTTCTCCAGAGGGAGAGCAGGTTTGTGCTCCTTTCATCTAGTAGGAAGTTTCTTCTTCCCTTGCATATGCAGCATTTTCTTGTGGTATGCAGTCATCACCAGGAGCATTCCCTTTCATTTCTTTCAGCGTTTCCCTTCTTGCTGCAGGAAGGCCTGTCTCCAGTGATCAAAGACAACTGCAGGAGGAGAATGAGGAAATAAAGTGTTGGAGAATGGAATAGAAAACCTGCTTGGAAGATCTCTGCTTGGAGTGAGACTCAAGGAAACACATATCCATGTTTGCTGCCTCTGATTCCCCTGTTGTTAGTGTGGGGGTAGCAGAAGGTAACCTCCTACTGTTAGGAGTAGGGATAGAAGCCCAATTCCTGGCTGTGGCCTGGGGGCTGATGTATTATACATCTGGGTAAGCCAAAACTAACAGAGGGAGAGGAAGATCTGCCAAGTCACAGTCAGAAGAGTCTGGTAGTCCTTGAGGACCACCAGGGGGAGCATTGATGAACTCATTCTCTGCACTGCTTCTACCTGGAAAAGATACTCTACTGATAACATGCACTTGGGATTGAAGTGTTGAGAGAGGCACTCGAGCAGGTGAGCAGTTTAACCTGTTCTCACTCCAGCCCCGACTTGCTGTCTTATCTATAGTGGATTGAAGAGATGTAGTTACAAAACACAAGTATTGGAAAAAAAATGCCTTCAGAGCCTGGATTTTGCAGAAGTACAGTTTGGCTTTAAAGAACAGCAGGAGGGAAAAGAAGAAAAATCCTATTGCTAAGGCATTTTTCACAGGCAGCCAAGCATGGTTTGAGCAGAGACCAGTGACATGATACGAGGAATCCTGGAGTGGATCGGGGAGCCCAGATGCAGCAAATCCCTGAGCCCGACTGACAAACACATCCCTGCATTGCGGTGACGATGAAGTGTGTGACTTAGCAAAGCATTTACTGGGGATGTGTAGTTCTGCAGCAGCCTGGGGAGCTCTGAGATGCAGCCTTGCGCAGTCTCTCCTCCCGACACAGCATGGGGAGGAGGCATTCCCATTGCAGGGTGCCCCAGTGCCTTGTGCACGTGCTCTTGGCTTGTGCTTGGCAGCTGGGTAAGCTGAATAGACACTTTTTGGCCTGGAATTGAAAATCCCATGTTGCCAGCAGTCCTGGTTTGGCTGCAACTCCCTCAGGTTCCCTTGGAAACTTTAGTGCTGGCTTGAATCTGGACTGCGAAATAGCAGGAGCAGTGGCTCTGCCTCCAGCCTGGCCATTCATCTTTCTCTGCTTGCTGTGGATCCAGTGCCAGGGCACAGCATGCATAGGGCTGGAAATAAAAAGGGAACTGAAACCCAGGTGGAGGTATAGAGTTGTGTGTGTATTTCTCAGGGATCATCCCAGCCTTTTGTGCACTCTAGCATGGTGTGGCAGATTTTGTCCCTAGGGACAGCTTTGGGATAGTGTGGGCTGGGTAGAAGACTCAAAGAGTCATTGAGTGTTTAACTCTGTGGTTGAGAGCTGTGCCCTGCTCCTCGCTCTCAGTGCCAGGAGCAAAACAGCTCAGTCCTGTAAGCCTGGATCTCACTTTTGAAGTGCAGTCCCCTGCAGCAGCTGCTGGAGGCAGCCGGAGCCTTTGTTTACCCGCTAATCCTCCCATTTCCACTTTTCCTCTCTGACAAGGGAAAATGTCGCAAAACAGGTTGAAGGTGAGTGGGTATGTGGTGATGTGAGCGTGTGCTTGGCTGAAACTGGGAAAGGTTCTGTTTGCGGGGCAGGGCTGAGCATGCAGTGTGACTCAGTGTCCCAGGCTTCATGTTGTGGGCTGCTGGCCATGTTTGACCTCCTGGCTTGTGGGGTGGTAGAGGCAGTGTGGTGATGAGGCAGGGACCATAGAACGATGGAATACTCTGAGTTGGAAAGGACCCATAAGGATCATCAAGTCTAATTCCTGGTTCTACACAGGACCACTCAATCAAATCAGACCCTATGTCTGAGAGCCCCGTCAAGGTGCTTCTATAGCTCTGGCAAACTCAAGGCCATGACCACTGCCCTGGGGAGCCTGTTCCAACCCTGTGCTGAAGAACTTTTTCATGATATTCAGCCTGAAACCCTGGAAAAACAGAAGGGAATCCAGTAAGTAACTGGTTCACAGCAGCCTGCATTTAGGCCATGCCTTGACTTTGGACTCATCTTTGGGCTCAGAGACCTCTTAGCTCCGGTGATCATCACCCATCCATTTGCTGGTGGGCACTGGGCTCTCTCCACCTCTCCCTGAGCTGGTTCCTTGGGGAGCTGTGTCTCCATCAGAGCCAATGAGGAAAGATTCACACCCCTTTCCTAATGAGACATAGTGAGTAATGGAGATGTTCCTCAGGGACAGTGTTGTAAGCGGTGCTACATGCATGGTCAGGACCAGAGAGCAGGTTTCCACTAGCTTCTCCCTGCTGTTGTGCAGCAGCAGACACTGATGCATGTCCCATCTTGACAGCAGTGATAAGCTGTGTGGTGGTGGGAGCTTATGTCACAGCTGCAGCCACCATTCCTCTCATGGTTCTTATCAAATCTCCTGGCTTGCCAAGTCTGTTGCACGCCGGATGGCAGTGTGTTTGGTTCTCCATGTGATAAGATTTGTCTGGTGTGAGTCGTGTCCCAAGCATTTTGCTTGTAGTCCTCTCCCCCCTCTTGGGAGTGAGTGATCTCTGTCTAGGAATTGGACTGCAATTAGGGCAGTGTCTGCTTCGAGGCAGGATGGGCTACAGAGGGGAGCAGCGCAAAGCAGCCCAGAGAGCAACCAGCGCCTGGCCTGGCTCTGCTAGCAGTAATGGGGAAAACAGCAGCAGCAGAAGGAGACATGGGCTGGAGGGAAGGGAGCCAGAGAGAGCAAATGGCGCAGCACGACCACTGAGAACGCAAAATAAACATCCTTTGTGGCCAAGCAAGGGCTTTATAAACTACTGACTGTCTTGGCGGCTGCATGAGAAGGGTCAGAAATGGGAATAAAGGCTCATGGGAGCATCAAGAGAAAGGACAGCATTCCATATGGGACTGATCAGCCGAACAGCATGTCCTCAAGTGCATGACACGTCCCTCAGTGCCGAGTATAGCCCTAGAAAGGGAGGTTCGATGTCCCAGCTGCTGCTGATCACCCTGTGGTACTGTGCAAGTGCTCACTGACCCTGCAGGTCAGCTGCTGGCTTTGAGAGCTTTGGGAGCTCCAAGCTAGGCTGTGGCTGTAGTTCTACTCAGGCCTGCATGAGTGGAGCCTCTGCACTGTTCCCTGGAGTTTCTGCAGTGCTTTCAGTCTGTCTCTTCTCCATGTGGCTTGCTCTGGAGGTCCATCTGTGCATTTCTGGTGCCCTTTGCTCTGGTAGCAGGGAAGGCAGGAACAGGGAGCGTCAGTTCTGTGGGCCTGGGCTTTTCTTAGGTTTCCTTTAGATGCTTGCAGTTCTCTCTTTAGAAGCCCATTTCCCGCACTGAGTCACTCATTTTGGGATTTTGCTTCCCTTTTTTTAGAGCTTTTCTTTTCCAATTCCATCTGGTTTGGTTTTTACTGTTTCATTTTGCAGGACCATCAAAGGGAATGCATTCTAGCTAATTTCAGAGCAGCAGAAGCAGATAGTTTCAACTTGACAGCTCCTTCCTCTGCAGACCTTAGCCACAGCCTTGGATCCAGAGCCCCTCCAGACCCTCTCAAAGCTGATGGGGTAAGGTGGCTTGCTGCTTCCTGGCACATATGAGAGGTATAAGGATTTAGCAATGTGAGCATAGGAGAGAGACTTTTTTCTTTCCTTCTCTCCAGCCCATGAGCTGTTAATTCTTGTGGCTTTTCATAACTTGCTATTGCTCCATTAGCATTTTTTTCTCTCTCTCTTTCCTCTTTTTTTTTTTTTCCAGTGGATGAGCCACCCTTGGCATCGCTCCTCATGCGTGTGACTCAGACAGATTCTGCTTGTCTGAAGGATTCCTGCAAATCCTCAGAGTTGTCCAACCCGCCTCGGCGCAGCGCTGGAACCTGTGAGAAAGGCGCTGGGAGTGAGCTGTGCAGCACCAGCAGCCTTGTTCCGTGGCACTGGGCATGGAGGCTGTGCCTGCATTCTCACTGCATGCCCTGGCTGCGGTGTGGGGCTGGACCCCAGCATTGCTGCTCTGAGGTTGGTGGAAGGAGGTCTCCGTGGACATTTTGTGTATGGCGCAATTCTGCTTTTCTCTTCTGCTTGTTCAAGTTCTAGTCAGCTGGCCTCATGCTGTCTCTGCTGTGGGAAGTGCTCTCCTTGAATTCAGGGAAGCTGGGCTTGGGGCGTCTTGGAAGTCCCCTTGTTTCCATTGTTGGAAGGAGACCATTCATTTTTAATGCCTCTGGTTTTTGGATTTAATTGGAACCACCCAATGGCTAATTTTTTTCAGAGGCACTCAATGCCTTAGTAACTTCACTAATAGTAGATGGTGCAATGAGAGATCAGCATCTCCAACATCTGAGCTACATTAGCCAGGTGAGCCCAGCTTCCTTTCAGCTTCTTTGCAAGGACAAGCTTGCAAAGCTGATTTTTAATTTTAGAAAATCTGCCCATGGGAGTGAGAGTCCAAACAAGAAGAGTTGTTTCAGGGTGTAAGCTTGTGTGTCTATGCCTCAGTTTTCCCGTGTGCAAGATGAGGAGCCTGCTGTCTTCCTTACTCAGTGGTGAAAGAAAGCTGTTTGGGATCATAATCTTTTGGCATAAAATGCATGTGGAACACAAAACCTCATGAAGCTGATTCTTTGTAGGAAGCTCTGTGGAAGAGACTTTACCTGTTTAGCTTATATACAACAAAGCAGGGAGATCCCAAAAAATATGAGAGTGAAAAAAGCCATGAGCTTTCTACGCATCTTCTCCTTTGCCATTACTGAGGAAAGTTTTTAACACAAATGCATTTTTATCTCCAGGCTTGTTTTTCAAAGCCTTTCCCACAACCAACATTCCTGACATGCCCCATGAGGGAAAGAATTAGAGAAATGAAAGCTGGAAATGGAAATGGGTGGCAATGTAATCAGTCCTCTGACCTCTTTTCCATACATTCTGCCAGTTCTTCTGCCCCTCGGGCAAGCTGAGGACCCATAGCACATGACTCATCTGGTTGCTTGAGTTGGTGTCTGGTATTACGAGCCAGCTTCCATGCATGCAAACTTCTTTGCTCCTCTCCCCTTCCATGTCTCATACTCCACAAAAATGCTGCCACAGACTTCATTGCTTCCCAAGGGGGATGTCCCCTTGAAAAGCAGAAGGCTGTAACTTGGTCCTGGGGATTGAAACCATCCATCAGAACACATTTGAACTCTCCATGGAGATGAGAGATGTCAGTCACTGTGGCACCTTTCTGACACGACATGAGGGGAAGAGATGGAGGGCGAGGCTACAGCCCTTCCCTCTGCTCTTAATCTGCTCCACTGTCTTGGTTCTGGTTCCCCTTTTCCCTCCTATATTAGAATTGTTTAATCTGGAGAGGAGGCAGCTCAGGGGAAACCTTATCGCTCTCTACAACCAACCTGGAAGGAGGCTGTGGCAAGGTAGAGGTCAGTCTCTTTTTCCAAGGTAACAGTAATAGAATGAGAGGTGATGGCCTCAGGTTGCTCCAGAGGAGGTTCAGGTTGGATACTGGGGAAAATTTCTTCTTGGAAAGAGTATTACTGCAGTGGCACAGGCTGCCCATGGAGGTGGTGCAGTCACCGTCCCTGCAGGTGTTCCAGAGCCGTGTGGATGTGGCTCTGAGGACATGGTCAGTGGGCATGGTGGGGGTGGGCTGGCAGTTGGACTGGGTGATCTTAGAGGTCTTTCTGACTATTAATGAATCTATAATTCTGTGATTCTGTGATTTCCTGCTGCCCTAGCTCTGTGGAAAAGTTGTTTCTGTTTTTTTGTTTTTTTTTTTTTTTGCCAAATTTTAGGTCTTCAGCTAGCTATGTCCCTCCTCCTCTGCATTTCCCACAACCCTAGGAAGAAAAATTGCATTGTACAGCTGAAGGGAGGTGATGCTGGTAGGGCTCCTTCCAAATGTTGGTGTTCTCTAATCCCAAATTTCCAGGTTTGGAGTGTGGATGCTACTTCCATACTGCCCAGAGGGGCTTAAGATGATGCACACCCAGGGAGCTGGGGTATGCGGGGTGGCTGGGCTTTACACCTTGTCTTCCAATCCTTTGTTCTTTCCCATTTTAGTGGAGAATTCGAGTCCTTCTGTAGAGGACCCATCCAGTTAGGAAGCAGGTTAGTATTCAGAAGCACTAGTTTCCTTGTGTTTATCATTGCCTTGGCTTCTGCATCTCCTGGACTATCCACTTCTGTACACACCTTCCAGATCCACAGACCTGCTTATCCAGTCTTCTGCTTACCTCACTGCTTGCTGAGGTAAGTACGTTTTGTTCTCACCGTCTTCCTCCATTAGGAAGCTGGCTGGCTGACAGAGCCTAGGGATAGGTTGGGTGAAGGTTGTGGATTATCTGTGTGGATTATCAGAGGCAAACCAAAGTCTCCCTGGTGCAGGATGGTCCTTTCAAAATTGTGTTTTTTTTTTTTTTTTTTTCTGACTGGGGGAGATAGAGGCGAAATCACAGAATCACAGAATCACAGAATCACAGAATCACAAGGTTGGAAACGACCTGCAAGATCATCTAGTCCAACCACCCTCCCATTCCTATTAGTACCACAAGCTACTAAACCATCTCTCGTAGCTCCTCATCCAGGCGCCTCTTGAACACTACCAGGGACGGCGACTCCACCACCTCCCTGGGCAGCCATTCCAGTGCCTGACCACCCTTTGAGAGAAAAAGTTTCTCCTAATATCCAACCTAAACCTCCTCTGGTACAACTTCTGGCCGTTTCCTCGGGTCCTACTATTTGCCTGGGAGAAGAGGCCAGACCCTTTTGCACCTCAACCTCCCTTCAGGAAGTTGTACAGTGCAGTGAGGTCTCCCCTGAGCCTCCTCTTCTCCAGACTGAACAATCCCAGCTCCCTCAGCCACTCCTCATAAGACTTGTGCTCCAGACCCCTCACCAGTTTCGTTGCCCTTCTCTGGACGCGCTCCAGGGCCTCAATGTCTTTCTTGTAGTGAGGGGCCCAAAACTGAACACAGTACTCGAGGTGCGGCCTCACCAGTGCTGAGTAGAGGGGGATGCTCACCTCCCTGCTCCTGCTGGCCACACCATTTCTAATGCAGGCCAGGATGCCGTTGGCCCTCTTGGCCACCTGGGCACACTGTCGGCTCATGTTCAGCCAAGCATCAACCAACACCCCCAGGTCCCTTTCCTCTTCACAGTCATCCAACCACTCATCCCCAAGCCTGTAACGCTGCATGGGGTTGTTGTGGCCAAAGTGCAGAACCCGACACTTGGCCTTGTTAAACCTCATCCCATTCACCTCAGCCCAGCGATCCAGCTTATCTAGATCCCTCTGCAGGGCCTCCCTGCCCTCAGGCAGATCGATACCACCTCCCAACTTGGTGTCTGCAAACTTACTCAGGGTACACTCAATCCCTTCATCTAAGTCGTCAATGAAGATATTAAACAGGATGGGCCCCAGTACCAACCCCTGGGGGACACCACTTGTAACAGGTCTCCAGCTAGACTTCACTCCATTGACCACCACCCGTTGAGCACGGCCCTCCAGCCAGTTCCTTATCCAACGGAGGGTAAAACTGTCCAAGCCACGGGCAGCCAGTTTCTGCAGAAGGATACTGTGAGAGACCATGTCAAAGGCTTTGCTGAAGTCTAGGTAGACTACATCAACTGCCTTTCCCTCATCTACCAGTCTGGTCACCCAGTCGTAGAAGGAGGTGAGGTTGGTCAAACACAATCTGCCTTTCATGAACCCATGCTGGCTGGGCCTGATCCCGTGAACGTCGCGCACGAGCCGTGTGATCTCTCCCAGGAGGATTTGTTCCATGACCTTCCCTGGCACTGATGTCAGGCTGACAGGCCTGTAGTTCCCCAGATCCTCCTTATGGCCCTTCTTGTAGATGGGCGTCACATCAGCAAGCCTCCAATCCTCTGGAACCTCTCCAGTCAACCAGGAGCGCTGGCAGATAGCTGAGAGCGGCTTAGCAATCACCCCCGCCAACTCCCTCAGCACCCTAGGATGAAGCCCATCCGGTCCCATGGACCTGTGACTGTCCAGATGGAGGAGGAGCTCTCTAACTGTCTCCACCTCGATCTCCGGGGAGACATTCTGCGTGTCAGCCCAGATATCCAGATCAGGGCACAAAGTGCCCTGAAGATAGCTGGTCTGACTATTAAAGGCAGATGTAAAGAAGGCGTTGAGGACCTCAGCCTTCTCCTTGTCATCTGTGGTCACGTTCCCCGCCGCATCAATTAAAGGACAGAGATTATCCTTGGTTTTTCTCTTGCCATTGATATATTTGTAAAAGGATTTCTTATTCTGCTTTACTGCAGTGGCCAATCTAAGTTCAAGATGGGCTTTTGCCTTCCGGACTTCCTCCCTGCATACCTTAGCAACTTCCTTGTAATCTCCCCTCGTAGCCTGTCCCTTCTTCCAGAGGACATAGACTCTCTTTTTCTTCCTGAGTCTTGACAGTAATTCCCGGCTCATCCACACCGGACTTCTCCCCCTACGGCTCGCCTTACAGTATTCAGGGACAGCCTGTTTTTGAGCCTTTAAGATTTCCACCTTGAGGAGCGTCCAGGCTTCCTGGACCCCTTTACCCTTAAGGAGTGACTCCCAAGGGACCCGTGCTACAAGCGTCCTGAGCAGGTCAAAGTCCGCCCTCTTGAAGTTCAAGATAGCAGAAATCCTAGGCTTAGCTTCTTGAAATCCACCCCACAGCCCTCTAAGGCAGGAGGCTTCATAAAAAGGGGGAAACTGAGGCAGAAATGAGCCTTGATGAGGACTAGAGGGAGGAAATGTTACTGGAGCCTGAATGAGGTCAGAGTACATGGTTTAAATCAGGTCACTGCTTGATATTTATTGTGTAGGGTTTTTCTTTTTTCCTTACTCTCTCCCTGAAATCCTTCCCCAGAGGCTATTCAAGGAAATAAATAGCCAGTGGAAAGGGACAATAGCTTGCTGTGGAGTACAAATTATATGAAGCAGTAGGAAATAATAGCAGAGTGAGCAGCTGCTGCTCCGAGAAGGAATGCGTGCTCTCTCCAGCTCCTTTTTGCCTTGAACGTGTGCCGATCCTGGTCTGCAGCACAGACTCCTTGGTGCCTCGGATGCAGATCCTGGCAGCCAACTGAGGAGGGAAGCATTGGTTCTGGCATACAGTGTGGCTGCTGGGTGGTAGTGGTGGTGGCAATAGGTGCTGCTGTCAGAGGTCACCCAAAGGACTCTGAGCCCCCCCGTGGGTGCTCCTGGTGGCCTGAGGCCAGAGGGATAGAGGGAAGGACAGGAAGGAGTGTTAACCCCAAACTCTACCTTTTGGGACCTTTTATCTCTTCAGGAACATGACAAGGCCTCTTCCAGCTCCAGCAGTGTCAAAGTGGCCATCCCACATCAGTGTAGGCAGCTGCCCTCCAGCCAGGGTTGGCATGGGATGGACCTTCAGGTCAGGGGGTTGTATCCCTATTGTAGGATGATCTCTTTAGGGGTGAAAGGTTCCTTGGTCCCTTGCACAGGTGACCACCAGCTTCCACACCCATTCTTTATGTTTTCCTCACTGCGTAGCACCTTCACCTCCTTTGTAGATGCTCTGTAGCCAGATTTCCTCTCTTTTTGGGGTTTACATTTCCATCACATCACAGCATTTCCCTATGCTTGTGATGTCTTTGGGAAATAACCAACCTGTCTCCTTCCTCCTCCAGTCATCCCAGTCATCACCTCCTGTTGCACCGGAGCATTTCAGCCTTTCTAGGGTTCCCTTCCTACATGGGGAGCACACCCCATTGCATGAGCCAGACCATCTGCACAGAGCTGGCTCCTGACCATGCAGAGGTTACAGACGAAGGAAGTCGCCAGCGCTGGCAGAATTGCTGCCGGGTTTCCCACTATTGTTCCCAGTGGCAAATGGCAAAGGGGTGAACGCCCCTGCTGAGCGTTTGCACGAGGGGGGTTACTGTTATCTCGAAGAAATCTCACAGCCCCTCTCCTCTTTCCTGCCTCTCTCCCTGCCTGTGTATATTCTCACATCCGCAGCTCTGCACACAACTCCCTGCGCAAGTGGTTTTCTCCATCCCTGGGACACGTGCTGCTCTCCCTCGTGGGCAGCCTCACCCCCTGCCAGGGGGATCAGTGGGCATGATGAAGGCAATGTGAACATGTGTGTGTGCGTGGGACGCACCGCAGTGTGATGGCAAACAGACCTAATGCTGGAAACCACTGTCTGTATGCAACCACCCACATCACCTGCTCCTGCAGACCAAAGTTCAGCCCTGGGGAGTTTCACCAGCGACTTCAGTGACCTCAACAGTAAATAAATTGCCAGAGCCTGCTGGTCTTTATGGCCCACTGGTCACAGATAAATAGGAAGTACCTTCAGGGAAGGAGTGCTTATCAGCCTTTATCTCCTGTCACATCTGGAGCCTTTGGGGGAGGGCAGGAACTGCCTCCCAGCTGCTCTCTGCAGGGATGGGGCTTGGGAGGGATGGAGGGGCTGCTGCTCTTCTGAGCTTCCCTCTTGCTTTTCTACTGATTTCTGGATTCTGGAAATACAGCACCAACAACTTCTACCAAATCTGAGGAACTGTCTACTGACTTGTAGCCCATCTCTGGCAAGGATACCAGTGGAGTAACACTCCCCATTTCTGTTTCTCAGTGTTATGGAGGATGGAGCTATCAAACCCGCTGTGCTTGGCTCCTGAATCTCAAAGGTTATGGATTCAGTACAACTTGAATGGGAGATTGTAGAAAGCTTCCACATATTGCTGGTGCGATCCATGAGCTGGAGATGAATCTAGAGCCACAAGAAAGAAAGGAGCTGGGAAGCTTTTTATTTGGCTGAGCTGTTACAGCAAGAATAGAAACGAACGTGGTGGTCAGACCTCCATAGCAAGCTAGGGAGCTGCTTGTCCTACATGGTGGCTGCAGTAGCACCACTAAGGGCCACGTGCACTGGTGCCTCCATAGGGAATTCAACAAAGAGGCTGGTCCCTAGGGGAAAGATATGTGCATGACTCAGTCTGCTTAATATGTTAATATATAATCCACAGGGAAGTGAAGGGATGTGAGGTCGTCTATATGAAGCATTTCTGAGCTAAACTGCTGGTGGTTCCCTGCCTGCTGACTGCCCTCCAAGGAAGATGGCTGTAAGGGCTTCTGCTCCTGCCTGCTGTTGCCCAGGGTGTTCAGGCTGGCATGCAGTCAGCGAGGCTATGTGAGGGATGGGATAAGGCATGAAGACCTCCACTCTCAATCCTTGCATTTCTTGGGCTGTGAGCGGTGCTGTCCACCAAATGGGGGGTTGGACCACTCTGCTTGAATCCTCTTCATACCTCTGTTCTCAAGCTCTATCTTTCCTTGTGCTGAGGGCAAGCCTGTTACCATCTCCTCTCTTTTCTCATTCTTTGTTGTGTGCTGCCTGCACTTAGCCCACTCTTCCCCTTATTGAGAAGCCTATGATTTTAGGCCATGAGAGGAACCTCTGCCGAGAACAGTAGATGTTCTACTGGCTCGGACACCTTCTCCAAGCAGTGTGGTGACAGGGGAGGAATGGCGGATGGAAATCCACAGACCCCTTTTTGTTTCTGCCTCAGGGAACGTTTGAAATGTTTAACCTGGATTGGAAGGTTGGAGGCACCATGAAGATCAAAGGCCATATATCTGAGGATGCTGATAGGTAAGTGCAAAGAAACTCACCGACGCTGAAGGTGAGTTCACGAGCAGGTGGTGTCAAACATTTTCACAGCTGATGGAGGCTTTGGGGGCAGAACTGTGTATTGGATCCTAGCTCTTTCAAGACCCTGTCCTGCTCATGCAGCTGACCTTCCTCCTACTCACCCACAGGTTTGCCATCAATCTCGGCTGCAAACCCTCGGATCTGGCGCTTCACTTCAACCCCCGTTTCAAAGAGTCTGTCATCGTCTGCAACTCCTTGTGCTCTGACAACTGGCAGCAGGAGCAACGCGATAAACATTTCTGTTTCCACAAGGGCTCCACTGTCAAGGTGAGGGCTCTGTGCTGGTGTGGGGTTGTGGGATGGTGAGAGAGATTCCTGTACCCCATATCCTTCCACTTGCCTGCCCAGTGCCTCCCTTTCTCTTTACTGCTCCTTCATCCTCTGGCTTTTTGGTCCTAATTGCTATTTCTTCTCCTTCAAATCAACGGTGGAACTCTGTGTGAGCCTTCTCTGTTTCAGGCTTTACAACTGCTTCCAGCCCAGGGATGTGTGAAAGCAAAGGAGGTTTCCAGGAAGCAGGATCTTGCTGCTCTGTATCTTATTTCTCTAATTGCCTCCTATGCAAACACAGGTTTTAAGCCAGACCTGGGCTGGAAGCAGTGTGGTTCCCTATCTTCTCTGGTCCCCAAATACTCTTCTGTCCTAACTACTTTTGGGTACACTGACAATCTGTCCTACCTCTCCTCCTGCCAGGGATGCTGCCTCACTCTGTCCTATGTCCCAAGATGCTACTAGGGCTGTGTTCAGGAGTAGATCACTTCATATGGCTGTAGAGAAGAGTCTTATTTCCTCAGTCATGGCTGAATGCTGGGGAAGCAGAGGATAAGTGACAGCTTTGAGAAGTCCCTTTTATTTGCAATGATCAGTGATGAGTCCCTGTTCTGTCTGTTTGAGCATGTTTACGTCTAACACTCCTTTTTCCTGGCTGTGATGAGGGCAATAAAACATCAGGTTCATTCTACTCTGTTCAAATCTAAGCCATGTGGTATATTTAGCAAAGGCAGCACTTAGGTTTATCTGCTCCAAGTTTACAACCTGAGTAGCTGAAACAGCCCCAGGAGAGATCCTGTCCCCGGGTCATAGTCCGATTGCCAGCTCACATCCTCAATACCAATGGCTCATTTTCTGCAGCTCCCCCAGCACAGCCTCCAGACCAGGTCTGACCCTCATGTGTAGCATTATGCCTTTGGAGTGGATGCTTACCTTTCCTTTTCTCTCCAATTCCTGCCATCCCTTCCTCCCTCCCTCCCTTCCTCCTTTCCTCCTCACAGATCATCATTGAATTCCTGGGAGACAAATTTGTGGTGAAACTACCAGATGGGCATGAAGTGGAGTTCCCCAACCGGCATGGCTATGACAAGATCAGCTACTTGAACATTCATGGAGGATTCAAGGTCACCTCCTTCAAGGTGGAGTGATGAGTTCCGTTTCCTAGTGCTAATAAAAACCCAGCTGGGACTGCTTGCTCCAGCTGCTCTGGCTTCTGTGAGGTCTCTGGCTCTGTGGCTCTATGAGAGATGCTGGCAAAGACCGAGCTTTGTCCACTAACAGAAGAGGAAATAGCTGCTAGATAAGGCCAGGTGCTTTTCTGGTTCAGACCAGGATGTGGGGTTGAGCAGTGCACAGGGCCAAACACACTGGAGGTGGAGTTCGGGTGGAGAAGAAAAAGGAAAAGGAAGACAGGATATGATTGCTCAGGGAATGCTTGCTGAGCCTTGTCACAATGCACCATTTCTTCTTGCACCCACATTTTTGGGAGGGGAGGGGGAAGGAAGGGGAACAAAAAGACTGATGTGAGAAATGTGGCGTTTGGTGCCACAAAAGTACATAATTAAACATTAGGTTTGGGAACCTCAGGGCATGGCTTCACCATTTCCTCTTGGCTGCTTGCTCTGATAGGTAGAAGGAAGAGCTGTGTGCCCTCCTGCTAGTATAGTGCCAGGCTGTGTGGGGATGGGAACACAGCTGTGCCCCATACTGGCATTCCTACTGTGATAAGGGGTTGTCTCTGGCTTTCCCCCTTATCTCACCTCACTTATCTGGTGCATTCCAGATAGATTACCCATTACTCTGACATTACCATGCTGTAGCCTGCTTGAAGGGAAAGTGAGGCAGGGGAGAGCAGTGAGGAAGGAGTGTTTTTGGGTGGGTTAGGCAGCTCCTACTTGTGTCTCTCACATGGGACTGCAGGCTATTAGTGCTTGATTATCTGATGCCACTGATCTAATTAAGAAGCATCACGCCAGTTGCAGGGACTTGTAGGCAGGCCTGGAGTGTGCTGGGTCAGTCCTGTTCCCAATGTCCCTGGGGAGGGAGAATGAAATATGCAGAAAATGAGGAAGCAGAGAGATTGCAATGCCTCCAACAGCGCTGGGAGGAAGAGCAGGGGAGGGCTGAATGCGAGGACAAGCATCACCTCCTTGCTCTCATTGGTCAACATGTGATGTTTATGTTGAATTGGAAGGGGCCTTAAAGATCATCCAGTTCCTCCCCGCTGCCATGGGCAGGGCTGCCACCTACCACCAGCTCAGGCTGCCTAAGGATCCAACCTGGCCTCAAACCTTCAGGGATGGGGCACCCACAACTTCTCTGAGCATTCTGTGTCAGCAGCTCACCACTCTCTGAGTAATGAATTTTCCTCCTATCATCGAATCTAAATCTTCCCTATTTTAGTTCAATAGCATTCACCCTTGTCTTATCACTATCACACTGCGTACAAAGCCAGTCCTCCTCCTGCTTATAAGCTCCCTTCAATTACTGGAAGGCTACAGTGAGGTTTCCCTGCAGCCTTCTCTTCTCCAGGCTGAACAAGCCCAACTTACTTATAGGAGAGGTGATGGGAAATCCCACAGGGATCAGAGTGGCTCGACCAAAGTGGTTGAGGGAAGATGATAAGGTTGCTGCAACTGAGGGAGGGATGCACCAGAGAAGTTAGTATCAAAACTGCTTTAATAAGGACAATAAGTGCACGGGGTACAGAGTGGGGGCAGAAAGGCTGTTTCACAGACGTAGGTCTTTGGTCTGGAGCTTGTGCCACAGTCCAGGAAGCAGAGAACAGGGGGAGCTCATCCTGAGAGCCATCTCCCTGGCACGGGCTGGATGCTGATCCTGCATGGCCCTGCTGAGTGCTGATGGTTGGAGCTGGGAACGTGTTGGCACTGCTCTGGGGGGGCTGAGGGAGGAGGGCTTGCCCTTAACCTGCCTGCAATGACTGCCTGGCTCCCACGTATAGCACGCGCACGCTGGAGCCTCTTTATTCTGCACAAGGACTAGGCGGCGGGTGAGCCACGTAGGAGCGCAGCCCAATGGCATCTCCCCCTACTGTACACCCCCGTCTGTCCCGGAGAACAAGGAGGGTGCTGTGAGGGTCCTTCTGGTGACCTCAGCCCCCGAACATCTTGGCTCCACACCACGGCACAAAGGCGCTTCTGTGCTAGGCAACGTGGAGGCCGCTTGTCCCAGGGTGGCTGCATCACCCGGGGATGCTCAGAGAGGGGCACTCAGCATCCTCCGTGTGTGTCCTTGGGACAAGGCACTCTGTAAAGAGGGGTGTTTTGGGGGGGGATGGGTAGAGGGACAAGGGTGGGGAATAATGGCTGCAGAGAGGGAGTCTCCTTGTTGTGAGGTGGGTTGAAGGGAAAGGGAGTTTTTAAGGCAGTATTTGGTGCGCAGACAGTCTCACCTCTGGCAAACCACAAAGTTTCTCCCCCTCCCTGCTGCAAGGAGACTCCCTGCAAGGACAAAGAGACTTCCTCAGTGGTGTTCAGCAGCAGGAGGCAAGGGGAAGGTACCGCAAGAGGAATGCTGGCTGGGTGCCTGGTGCAGCCACTGCCACCTCCATGGCTGCCACTGCCACCTCCATGGTCACCCCTACCTTCTCAGGGCAGGGTTTTGCACCAAGGGATCGAGCTCAGTGTCTGTGGGCTCTCTCTGATCCCTGCTTGTCACTACTGCTTCCTTTCCTGAGCAAATCGTTTGCTTGTGAGGGGATGTGGGCTGGGGTGGGAAGGGGCTCGAGGGTTTCTTTGGCACATGGGAACGTTTGTTTGGCATCTAATAGGGAAAGAGAAGGGCTGTATCTTGGCACAGTGCAGTGCACAGCCCTCACCCCTCCTTGCAGCACCCTGCCAGACCTGGGGGCCCTGCGGGAAATGGGGTCCCCTCCTGCCTGCCTTGCACTCTGCTGCCCTAAGGTGAAGGCCAGGAAGTTGCCTGCTGGGTCTGCCACCAGAGGTGGGAGATAAGAAGGAAGGTGATGACCACAGCACTGATGTCTTTGGAAGTGGGGCTGTGATGGTGGGATGGCCATTCACACCTTTACTTCATCATCCTCCTCCTCGTCGGCATACTCGAAAGAATTGCTGCGGCCCCCCCGGGTGCCAACGTACCCCTCTTGCAGGCTGGGGAGCTCGTCTTCCTCATCCTCCTCCTCTCCTTGGTCCCAGGTGTCCTCTGGGGATGGTCTGGCTGCTGTCACTTGTGGCTGCCACGAGTTGCTGCTGGGGCTCTCCCAGGCAGCCCGTGTCCAGACTTGCCGGGCACCCTCACCCTTCTCTGAGCTGCGTGGGGTGCTTGTCCCCCCATAATGGCGAGCCAGGACCTGGGCTGCCCGCTCGAACTCTCCTGCCTCAATGGAGCAGTCGTTCCAGTGCCCCTGCCATAGGGTCCCTCCGGGCACTGCCCCTGGTGCAGAGGCCTGTGCTGGATCCTCTCTGGGCTGCTCAATGGCATGTGCCTGTCCATTGGCACGGATGGACAGTCCCAGAAGTGAGCCGGCCTGCCCAGAGTGGTCCCAGAAGCTGGGTTTTGCCTTCAGCTCTCCATGGGATGTGTTTGGTCCTGGAGGGTCTCCGTCCTTGGTTCCCTCACTATGTGGGAGCACACAGCTGCCAGGTGGGTCTTGGCCATCCTCTGCTACCTGATTCCCATTGGTTTCAGAGAAGCTCATTGCCTGGAGGAGCTCACTCATGAGAGAGGGCCCCAGGTCCAGGCGGAAAGAGAGCAGGGAGTCTGAGCGATCCAGCTCTTCTTCCCCAGGGAAGGTGCTCTCCTGAGCCTTTTCCAGGCGAGGGACACGAGGGATGGTGCAAAACCCAGACTCCAGCCCTGCAAAGTAGAAGTGATGGTTGGTGAGCACAGCCAGGGTGCCACGGTGGGACAAAGCCTACGTGGCCATTGGACAAGGGATGCCGATGCCAGTAGAGGTTGGTGGCACTGGCCAGATTACCTCCCTTATAGGGCCCAGTGGCATCACAATACTGTAGCCCAGGGGTGCTATCTCCAAAGCCCAGGGCTGTGGTCTCCTGACGGGCAGCAAGCATGGTAAAAGGCCGGTGGGAATGAAGCAGGGTGGGTGGGACCAGGAGATGGCAGCATTGCCTCAGCTTGCCTTTCCCTCTGAGCCCAACCATGTCCCTTGGTTGCCACAGGCACCCAGACCCTCCTGAAATCTTTGGCCTCAGCCTCTGGAAAAAAGCTGAGTCACAGCCCAGTGCTATGAGGCTAGAGAAGATCCCCTCAGCTGTCCCATCCACCCATCCCACATCCCTTCCAAATGGGGCCTTCCTGAATGCTGGCCAGCGGGATGGGATGAAGGAACAGCAGGAAAGGGAGGGATAAAGACCCTTGAGAGACACATGGAGATGAAGGGACTGGGACACCTGGGGGCTGCTGGGGGCTTCAGTACGGAGGTGGAGATGGCTGTGCTGTGGCATGGGCATTGCCACAGTGGGACATAAGGGTGTCTGGGCATCAGCTACCACCCCCATCCTTGCACTCACCGTAGGTCTGGTGTGCTTTGGAGAGTCTGTTTGAGGCATTCTTGAAGGAGTACTTGCTGGTCAAACCACCATCGCTGTCATATGCTGTCTCATTGAGCTGTGGCAGCGACACAGCATTCTTGATGATGGGCGAGATGGCCGGGGGTTCGGGTGATGCTCCTGCCTGGCTCCCGCTGCCCCGTCTCCTCTGTGGTGTCCGTCGGACATGACGCAGTGTGCGGGCAAAAAAGTTGTTGGCCTTGGCTGGCTCAGCTCCGCCATGGTTGCTGAGGAAGGAGGTGTCCCCAAAGACATCCCCGCCGCGTCCCACATGCATGGTGTGCCGAAAGTCCCCCAGTGGTGGGCTGATCATGTCTGGTGTCAGCTCCGACTTCAGCCGCCGCTTGCCATGGGAGCCCGACACCCAGCTGAGCACTGGCAGCTTCCCCAGGCTCATCTTGATCCTCCTTGTTCCACACCTTCCAAAGAACCCAAAACCAGTTTCCAGCAACGGGATGGCCTGTCACATCCCCATCACCAGGAGGTGCGAATCGCCTTGCCTTGGTTTTGATCTGGTGGCAATGCTGCCTGCCCCTGCGTCCCTGCTCTACGTTACGCTCATGAAGTCACCCAGCGTGGGGATGTCCCAGCAGTTGGTGGCCTTGGCAGAAGTGAGTTCTTCAGGAAACTTTCTCACCCGGTGATGACGATGGTCATGGCAAGTAGG